GGATCACTTCGTTGTCCGTCCGTTTGTCCATCTGACCGTTCGTCTGTCAAGATCCTTTTTCTTAGGAACGCGTGGAGGTATCAAATTGAAATTAATATACTATTATTCAGGTCTACAATCTCTTAAAGCAGTGAAAAAATCAAGCTTCTAAATCGACGCAACCAAAAGATACATTCGCAAAGGGAATCAAAAGCTACTTACTACTACTTCCTGTTGATCTATAATCATGAAATTTGTTAAGAAGCGATTTCATGTAGTAAAAGTAATTTACTTAAATAAAATTTGTTTTGATTTTATAATTAATATACTTTTGGGATATCTGTATGAGTATATATATATATACACATAATTTGGTATGAGAAGTTAATGTTCTTTCTCACGTGAGCGTTGATCAAACCAATTCTACCAATAGATTTTTCTATACCATGTCTACAGGAGAAGGTTTCTTAAGAGTCAATAATGTGCATATGATACCGCTGGTGTTACATACACCCGCATGCTAACTAACTAACATACATTACTGTATAGCATCAGACGGGCTATATGGTAGTTTACTACCATTTTAGTAAATTTTAGTTTTTACGTTACGCAATATCATCGCATTTTCATATCTCATTTTAATTTTTTATTAATTCCTGTAAGCCGTTGTCTGAATCTGAATGATTCTCTGCTTACTCCATCTAAACCACATAATAAATTTCAATACCACTTTCACTATTAGTTATATACGTTTTACGGAAAATTTCTTTATATTCTAATTTATACCCGTGCAAGGTCAAGGTGTGTCACTAGTATAAATATAAATATTGCACTAATAGCAACAAAAGATAAGTATTGACAGATTCTAACTTATTCACTTGACTGGAAAAAGTTGACAAAGTAACCCACGTCCCCGTCGGTTAAGTAAAGATGCCACACCATTAATCTATTCTCAAAGGGCCTGAGTGAAAGTAATATAGAAGGTCAATTTGGGATCGACTTATTGACAAAGCGGTGTGACCCTCTTTAACGACGCGGAATTACAGTCTGATCTTATAGACAATAGTCGGCAGGCTCTTATTACAAACTTATGTATGGTAGCATTCATTTGCACTTGATGACATATTAGATATCACACTCGGAGTGCAAACATTAAGATCTTCATAAAGAAAGAGTTCTGTAATCGACAACTCGAATTTTAAGTGTAGTTGAAGATATTTTTGTAAATTCTGAAATAGTTTTGACTTTTAGTCGCAAAGGTTACTCCTGTGGCGTTGGTCACATAATGTTAAATTTCGTTAAATTTAAAACTTACGTTCGCCATTAAGCAAATACGTTACCAATTCGGAACTAATTTTTACAATTCTTTTTATAATCTATATATGTTAATGACATTTCATATATAGACAATTTTTGATGTTTTTACTTTCAGGATCAAAAAATTATTTATAGCAAAACAAAATATACTAGGTAAAGATGCGATTCAGCGTTTTAATTTAAAATAATTTCTATGTAAGGTACCCTAGGAAACATTTTGTTGTTTATTTCATTTTTGTGGAGCAAATTGTACTTGTTAATACGGTGACTCCTTTTCCTGTAGTGATTCAAACAATAGTGAACAGACACGTGGCGTCCAATCTACGTCACCAATTAGTTGCGTCGCGTCGAAACGAGATGAATTTAATTTGTATGTGAGCGCCCCGCTTACTATGCAGCCCGTACCATAAAAAGAAGTGCACCAAATTTTTTCCAAACAATTAAAAATTAGCAACATAACGACAGTTCACCTGATCAAAAATAATCATTACATAATCATTATATATTACATATAGATATACATGAATACTACGATAGACATTAAAAAATGTACTGTAGTCCCTCATGCTTGAGATGGATATATGGATATAGTCATAAAAGCATCACTGCTTCACGGCAAGGATGGATGTATTCATGCAGACATTTTTATTTTTGATGAAAAAATATATATTAAATAGAAAGAAATAGTGGTTGATTGTTTTACCATACCTTGCAAGTATCAAAATAACAATTTAGAATTTAAAAACCATATACGAGTACGTAAGGATAATTCTTTAATAGAATTTTCTTATTCGATGCAAAACAGTATAAAAAATATTACTGTGAACTTTAATTAGACATGGATCTTCCTTATTAAAAGAGTAATGGTATATTTACCTACAAGAAAGATTTAATTTTACATTTATATTATTTTATTTATAATATTATAAGTTAACATTACTTAAAACATCTCTAAAAGCCTAACTGCGGTTATTAGTCCAAGCGTGGCAATTACTGGCAAAACTCCCCTTATGGGGAAGGCTTATGACCAGCAGTGGACAGTTAACGGCTGTCCACTGCTGGGTATAAGAATAATTATAAGATGAACAATTTAATGTTGTATAGTATTTAGAATATTAATTTTATATGAGAGCGGGATATGTTAATTAATCGGAATACAAAGTAATATTTAATGTATTGGTATAAAAGTATGTTGGTTTTGTGTTCATTCAATTGAATTGGATTATATCAAGCCAACCAAACATATTAAATTTTAATGTCATAAAACCACCCTAAAACTGTCAATTTATTGACAATTACTTATTCTTTATAGGTACTTCATAATACGAAACGCCAATACACGTTGACCTGCCCTAAAACAGCAAATTATCCTTGCAGGGAACGGCGACCACGCCCATTTTACGACTGATGGGGAAATATCATGTTGAACTTAATTCCCCTTAGAATGTCGCAGAAATGTTATAAAGGAAATGTGATAAATTTCGTTATCGGATCCTATAAAAACTTATGCTTCACTCAATCTTAACGTCTTCCTTTTTTTCCTAGTTTAATATAGATATTGGTAGAAAACACTAAAAGAGATAAGAACGACAATAAAATCATCGTACATGTTGACAGTCAATTTTTTACTACTACTGACGGGTAAGTTAAATTAAAACTTACCATCAGATAAGCCGCATGCTTGTTATAAAAAAAAAACTAAGGTATTACCCCTACATAACGTGCGAAAAGACTTGAAAGGCGCTAGTAATAATAACGACGTGGATACCTTGCTGGTTATAATAATAATAGGCGAGTTTTTTTTTTAATTTATAAGATCAAAATGAACAAGTCCTCCCTACATTAAAGTATCGCTGCCGTCATTCGCATTTTTATTGGTGCGTAACCTCATTAGTTGAATGAACTATAATTGACACACCGGCTGACCTACCAATTAAATAGGCGTATGGACCGTACATCGGGTATCCTTTTTTTACAATATTACATGTCTATAATATGTATTAAACATTGCAAACTACACATTAATAATATCTGTATGATATTGCTACAGAAAAAGACCATTGCATAAATTAATAAGCTAGCATTATGTATATTTTATGGTTTTTTTTTATACAACTTAGAATGGCAAACAAACTGACGGCTCACCTGATGGAAAGTGGTAACCGTCGCCTATAGACATGAAATAGTACCATGGACATAACAGACTATACTGTTTCGCTCATGATACTCCCCATTGCCATTCCTGAGGACTCAGGTGTTATTCCTCTGTACCCAGTAAATTCACGCCATATCCCACCCTTCAAACCGAAACACAGCCATGCAAACACAATTGCTTCACGGTTGAAACACGAATGGGACAGAGGCACCCAAGCAATCGACTTTTGTACAAACTCTCCCTCTGGGTTTAAGTAATAACCTTATTTATATTCGACGTCTATATACACATATAATGGGAAATTAACGAACTCACTGTGTTTTGCCGTTTTCGACAATTGTTAAATATATTAAAGCTTATTTATATATAGAATCAACTAACAAGTGACTACATTCTACATTACCATTTGAAAAACGCGTCGAAACAACTTACTATCATAAAAGCCGCCTATGCACTCACCACTAGTCCTTTTCGGCACATAAAGTATTCAACATTTTTACAATAAGTGATTATGCAAACTAATCCTGAAGACGTGTGAAAGCTATGAGCCATTGAAAGGATCTCCGCACGAGAGTGTACGTGACAAGAATGAATCCTCATATCAAGCAATAAGATCTTCTATATTGATTCTCGCGTAAACCTACTGGTGATTTTTTATAGGTAAGAAAAATATCTAGGCTTTGTCTTTGGTGGAATATTGCTTTACTAGTATTATAAAAATTCTACAGATTTTTTTTCTTTAACACTAGTTTCCGCAATAAAAAACAGTGGATATTGTATATAAACTCGGCTGCTCTGTATCAAAATTCATTAAGGGATTTTTTCTAAAAATCGATTAATAATAGTCGAACAAATTTCCATCATAGTATCCATAAAAGTTTAAAAGTATTATATAAGACAATTCCCAATTCGTCTGTATACCATTTGCGATACTATGGTCGAATATATCATTAACTATGTGTATGTACTTGTCATATATTATAACATGCCGAATTTTATAATTTATTATTAGCAATCGATAGCACATACTTTCTATATTGGTTTCATATTATTGTTGTGGTGTTTGAAGCTACTGTTTATCATTGTGGAGTAAAAAGCTGATTGTTGTGAACAAAATCTACTTATGATGATTCCGCGTTCTAAATTTAAATATTATTACTCTGATATGTCTAAAAAACATCACGTTACTCATTGGCATTTTATTAGAAATAAATTGGCTTTTGTTTTTTTTTTTTTTACTCTGTATTATGGATTATTTATACGAGTAGTTTGTATTTCTCACCTTGTATATAGATATATTTTGATAACTAATCGTACATAAAAACAATGTCAAATAAAATATGTCTAATGAATCCAGAAATTTGATGATTATCATTAATTTGCTATCAATAATTATCAATAGTTGGAAATCAGCAACTTATATGTTTGTAATTCTAAAAATAGGTACATTATTTATATCTTTTCGTACTTATTTACTATAATGGGTTTATTATTAAATATTTTATTATTAAAATACCTTATTTTATAGACTTTTTAAATCTATATATACCTGAGCAAACTAAACTGAAGACCAGCACAGCTATCGCCCTCCTCATGTTGGCAGCGGTCCTTAGAACTTACACAAAACACGACATAGAGTCAAATTACTAAATTTTTAATGCCTACTTTCAAATATACGATTTGAAAATGTTACGCTGAAAAAGTTTTACGCGACGAATCCAGAGATTTGACGCGGCAGTCGGTTGCCCGGTGACAAATAAGACTACCGCGATCATTGTATATGAACTACATAATAACCTTTTGACACGCATGCGCAATGTAATAACCCTGCAGGGATTAACAGTGTCAATATAGTGTATAAGAAATATCAATGAAAATTGCATACTTACAGATATATTGTTATTCTTATAAAAGTATTTTTATTAAAAAAATATAGAAATAAGTACTTGTATATTAATTGTATATATAACAAATAAATATACCTAAGTTATATTGTTTGTAACAATATATTGTGAATTATGCATAATGTCCATATTGTGAATAAATATTTATAAAAATAACATGAAATTTTATTAAAAATAACTTTTTTTTTTTTTTATAAAATGACAGTAGATGAATGATTGACAAACACGAAACTAAATTCTATGGTTTAAGAAATCAAAGTCTATTTACAATTGGACTCTATTCCATGACTTACATAAATAATAGAGTAAATTCAAATACTACCTCTTTTTTGAAGCAAATAAAAAAATGAAGATGACGATTTAACTTTGAATTTTTTTTTATACAACTTGAAATGGTCAATAAGCTGAAGCTACTAGTTATGGTCAGTGGTAACTATCAATTGCAGCCTCATATATTCAAGACTAACGACCCACCCTAGCTTCGCAATGATGCAATGCTCATACTAAATATAATACATGCATTATATAATACTATATAATGCATGTATTATACATATAAATATTCCTTTTGTATCACTCTATTTATTAAAAAAAAAACGCATCAAAATCATTGCATAGTTTTAAACATCTAAGCATACAAAGGGGCAAACATACAACTTTGTTTTATACCATGTAGTGATAATGGTGCTCATATGTTGTACTATTATAAAAAAAAAACCAATAAGTGTATAAGATAATATTAACGTTTGGATATAATGTCATTCGTACTTTGATATATTTAATTGTTCAAAAAGTTCCAGAGAAAAGTTATTCAAATTGTAACCAAATTTCATATTTTGATATATTATTGGAAAATGAAACGTATACGTCACAAAACTATTATTATTTTTTATATTTAACTTTAAATGCTATTTAGTGTGTGTGTGTGTGTAAGTTGTATTGTCGTAATCTATATGTAATGTAGATATTTGTGTATTAGTACTATGTATATATTATATATATATATATATTAAAATATATTACTTCAAAACTATTTTATAATCATTTCATCATCATTCAACAATTGTCAGCTACATAACGAAATTAAATCAGAAAAGCCTGTTATTAGCCATACTACATTGTTATAAAATATTTGTTAATTTTATTTGTAAATTGCTGTTGGTTTTTTTAAAATAAATAAATAAATAGGATAAGATAATAACCGGTTGGCAATAATTGCCACGCTTAGCAAGCGAGTTGGCGATCACAGTTAAGCTTTGGTGATGTTTTAAGAGGGACATTCCTCCACTATTAAGTTCCCTTAATCGCCTCTTGCGACACCGACGGTTTAGGAAGGAATGGACCATTTTATGCCTGCCATAGAATTATATATATATATATATATATATATATATATATATATAACTATATAGCCACACAGCTACAGGTAAATTTACCTTATAATTATTAAAAAATTTGAGATTTTCACAAGAAGCCCTTATATTTGATATGACACGATATAGTTTGCAAAAATGTATTTTTTTTTATTTTCTAGTTTACCTCACAAAAGCGGTCCCATTTTTTAAATTCATTTATTTATGTTACACGTCTGCCTTTAGTTCACCAATATATGTATACCATATTCATAATCAATACAGTAGTTTTGAAGCAATTTGACTGTGATAAATGGACGAACAGACAGACGTGAGGAATCCCATAAGAGTTTAATTTTTATTTTTTGCGATAGAGAATCCTTAAAATACCTACTGATGCTTTACCATTTCTGTACACAAAGAAAGTTATCAATATAATGACATTGTACTGTTTACACATCAAATTATTGGTTTGATATACATTATTCATAAATAAATTTATAAAGATTGGAGGAAAGAGAAAAATTTTTGTCGCTTCAAAAATCGAATCCTAATTATAAATGTAAAAGTTTGTATAGATATTTGTAACTCAATCAGGCTTAATTAACTAATTGGATTTGAATAATATTTTATCTTAAATTAACAGGACAAAGCCGTGTAATTAGGATCCTTTTTAAAATTATGTATTAATTATAGAATTTACATAACAAAAATGTATAACACATTTCTGTTATGTAAATTAATAAATTTAATAAAAGAAATTCTACACATTTAGTGAATTATTTGCTTTCTAGAAAAATTACAGGAGATCTTTCTACGAGAATTGAAATTCAATCATTTTATAATTTTAAAATACCTACTAGTAGTAAAGCATTTGCTAGTCCTTTATTATGACCCGAACAAATATATAGCAGTTCTACTAGACATACTAGACTTTCATATATAGATAGAATTATTATAAATAGAATGTGGTACTATAATAATTTGCCATATGGTCCCAGCATAGAATGGACCACCCTTTCCTTTACTACAGGTTTCGTAAAATGCGACGAAGGGAACTTGATGGTTGATGAATAGTCAGTAGCGTCCATCTTAAAATATCACCAAAGCTTAACTGAGTTTGCCAACCCGCCAGCCAAGCGTGATAACTATCAGCAAACCCCCCCAAGGAAGGGCTTATGTTCAGCAGTGGACAGTTAACAGCTGATCTAATGAATGAATAACTATGGTAATAATAAAGATTAATTCTTAAGAGTTTACGCACGTTTACACAGAAATACCTATCAAAGCGGTCACATGATACTACATGACTCTGACTCATGACCAATGATTTATGACGAGTACTATGGAAAACCTAATTTATAAAATATATATTTTAATGAAAACAGAATTAAAAAACGGATAATAGCTGAAATGATGATGATTGAAAACTATTGATCTGGCCCGTTTTCGCATGGGTAGATAGAATTTTCGAAAATGATTTTTATTTATACCACTGACGTGGCAAACAAGCATACGGCCCACATGATGGTAAGTGGTTACCGTAGCCTATGAACATCTGCAGTACCAGAGGTATTACGCGTGCGTTGTCGACCCTGAAGAAACCTCTTTACCCCCTTTTTGAAGAACCCTATGCTGTAGTCTCTTGGGGAAACCTCGGAAAAATATATAGTCTATATTATTCGCTGTATAATGTAGCTTTCTATACGTAAAAGTATTTGAACGTTTGAATAGTTTTTGACTTTATCTATTACAACCAAATAATCAAAATTTTCTTTCATAATATTGCAATATATACATATATATAAATATCTATTAAGATGCATAATTCCTGCATTCCGGAAATTTTATGTTCAATCCGACAGGATACGAATCCATATTTGTCAGCTATCTAAGTTAAGTGTGTTTTCAATTACACCGCAATACTCTCATTCCATTTTATATGCATTATAGATACTGGTGATGCGATCAAACCAAGTTTTATACATGTTAATAAAACATAATTTTTGTTTTTGTAAATGTTATGATAAAAATGTAATGACGCAAAAAATATTGTGTTTGTTGCAACATAGTTGAATTTATGTTTTGTGACATTTATTTTATTTAGACAACAAATTTTTTAAAGCATTTTAAACATCACCATGCCTGATGTATTAAAGTTAATTCATATTTATTTGTAACCAACATTACAAAAATAATAACAATTTATTAACATCCCACTACTGGGCATGTATTTCTCTATGTAAGAGGTAAATATTGATATTATTACGCAAATTGTTGAGATTAGACCTCTAGTCACCTCTTATGGGGGAAAAGGGATTGCTAATAACGGGTTCTAATAACCTCATTACAAACAATATACCTTAAAATGTCGACTTTCACGCGGTTTCCCCTAGAAACTATCATGTTAATTTCGTATCGAATTCGTCCTGATGGGCTAATTGATCTGTTTTCATCGTCACCTATCATCTTTTATTGATATCCCGCTAGCATATTCCGATAGCACAGGCCAGATTTTCACCTATTTAAAAAAATATCTCTTATGACATCTTGAGGATAGAATAAAAGAGGAATTATCTTTATTCAAATATATTTATTTATAAGGTATTTCAAATTATAATTTTTTTTATGATTCTACTGATGGGTTATTATAACTGGAATGTCATCTGCTGAGAGATACTCGCAAGAAACTCAGTAGTGACTGTTTAATTTATAAACTCAGCAGTAACTCTTTATGTATAAAATAATTTTATAATTCTACGAGTGGAAAAGAGTTAAAACATTTAATCTGTCATTATATGGATAATTTTTGTAATAGACTATGGCAATTAGTCTTTAATAGAGGTATTTGTTACATAGTTTGTAGGTCAATAGTATCAGGAGTGACGCATACAGTAAGAAAATTGGCAAAAAGTACACGAATCTCGTCCAAGTCGGATAAGTTATGCGGGCCACTCACTTACTGACCCAAAATTACTTGGCAGGGAATATTCAGTATTGAAGTTACACCACAGATATACCTAAAGGATTTTTACGTACAACTTAACGTCTGTCAAACGAATATTCTTTAAAACATAATCAAATACATATTCCTTCGTAAGAAAACGCGTATGAGATATATCATATACTCTACAACACTCATTTTGTAGATGAATGATATGTATGATGAATATATAGAAAAATCTTTTGCCCATAACCGGGATATGTTTACTAACTGTGATAAATAACAGTTTTTATCCATCACTATCCCATACAGTACGTGTATACCAAATTTCATAGTGATTAAGTCTTTAAGGCTGTAGAAGGTAATTTATTATAATAGGTAATAAATTATTATTATTGCACAAGCAGTCATTACACTTATAAATAGGTACTTTTTTTTTAATCGGTGATAATGGAATGGTAACCCTACCCGCGCTATCGGTATACACCGGCGGGGCACCAGTGAAGGATGATAGGTGAGGATGAAACAGGTCAGTTAGCCCATCGTGACGAGTTCAATAAGAATTGTTCACAATGATTTAAAATAATCCCCCTGAAGGGGGAACTACGTGGAGGTCGACCCAATAGGGCATATTGCTAACAATGGGGCTGTCAAACTCCATTGCTAACAATCTCTTTCCCCTCTATAAATAGGTACTTAGAAACAAGAAATTATACAATAGACCAAACAGTGCGAAGTATATTTGTGTATACTTGTATGTGCATATATATTATGCATCTGTATATTATATACCATAATCAGTGACAGTAAAAGTAACTTATTTGTAAATATACAGCCGAAGCGACAAACTTTTTTTTAACAGAGTTTGTTTATTTTTTGCATCTTAGCACTCGAACGACTCAATCATCCTTCACAAAATTTAGTGCCTATTTAAATATTTTTCTATATTAAACTATAATATTAAAGAATTAACACTACTTTTTATTCCAATAAATGAATATATTACGATCATGGTGACGAACTTGTTGATAAAACAAAGTTTTATCGGAATAGTCATATAATTTATAGCTCTGTATCATACCGGATATTAGAATAAATTCCGGATCTTAAACTGCATAAACCAAACTATTTAGTTTGGCTACATAATATCACAACTAGGTAAAACATTACTAATCAACAAACAATTCGATAAACAAGGATATACTAAGTATTGTAAAAAACCAATATCGCATCAAATCATGTTAAGTGGTCTAAAGAAAACTCTATTGCTCTTTATATTATTGCAATTGAGTCACGCAGTTTTGTAATAGATTATCGCTTAAGTGTATGATAATCATTTGCAGATAAAATCAAATATTGATTATCAAAAATATAATTTACAATGTCCTTGCCCTAATATAGTACTATAGTGAATTTATATTTACTAGCTCTTTACCGCGGCTCCGCCCGCGAAAGTCTAATATCTATCGTTAATCAAAACTGCATATTTCAACATTTTTACTACAACATATTATTACAACAACAACATACAACAACAGTATTACAATATTTTAATGCTACTTTTATTTTGTACAGCAATTACTTGGTAAAATAATTCAAAGGAATACCTTTAAATAATCCTTTAATAAGTGGATGTTGAATTTGGAATTTATTCTGTAACAGAATTGAATTTTCTTATAGAGCTGAAATGTGTAAATTATAAAAGTATAATTAAAATAATAATATAGCCTTTATTCAGACCAATTTAACACTGTCTTTAAAACAAACATTAAATTTTAAAAAACTTAATAAAACAAAATAACTTATTCTACTAATTAATTCTTGCTTATTTTATGTAGATCTGTTTGCCAATCGGCAAAGACCTCTTCCAACCTCCATTCTATCCCATGTTATTCCAGCCACTTCCCTGATGTCATCATCTCATCTTATGCACGGTCTGCCTCTTTTCATTTTGCCTTTCCTGGGATACCATCATGACAGTTCCTTATTTCATTTGCCATCTCCTCTTTTCATGTGCCCTGCCTATCTCCATTTGAATCTTTTAATTTTCAAAGTAACATTTATGGCTTTTGTTTTATTCCTGATGACGTAGTTTTTTAGTTTGTCTGATCTCTTGACATTCAGTATACTTCTCTCCATAGCATATTGGCAAATTGCGAGTTTACTTGTCATGCCATGAGTTAAAGCCTATGATTGGCAGCCATACACAAGGACGGGTAGAATGCAGGTGTTAAACAGTTTTGTTTTCATATTACTATGAAGTTTTTTGTTTTTCATAACCTTTAGAAAAATTTATTAAAGAGAAATTTATTATTGTTTATGTTGGGCACTCGGAATTTGTATATTTCTTTTTTAATTTAAAAAAAACATATATTTTGATGTTTTTGTAAAATATTCCCCAAAGATATTTTTAAGTATTCTTTGCTAAAAGTGCGCATTCGTGTTGTGGATAAAAAAATTAAGGAGCTGTTGAAATTCCAAATTCTTTTACTATTACAATTACTGCATAGTTGTTGGGATACCTAAAGTATCACGATTTGTAGAGTGACCGCCAATACGACTATCGTTATAGTCACTCAACTGGTGACTTCTTGGTATATCTCACTCACCGATGGGTATCAGCCCATTGAGAGTTAAGTTGAGGTGCTCGCTTTCAGTCTTGATATTGCAAAGGCATTTGACCGGGTCTGTCATCGGGGTCTTTTATCGAAATTGTCCTACTATGGATTTCTCGAAAACCTGTGTAAATGGATTGCCCGTTTTTTGTCCGGCAGATGCATAAAACATTTACGCTAGCATCTTGCTATCCCCAACGCTGCAATATCATATTAATAATATGTTAACCTTAGATGACATTATGCGGACAATAACACTGGGGATGTCCATTATAGGGATCGTACCAATGTCCTTCATTTTATCGTGGAGGCCAATAGTGAATAGTTTGTGTTTGAAATCGAAAGGACGTTAGCTAGGTTTTCTGATTGGGGACAACAAAATTTTGTCTGGTTTAACCCCGCTAAGACACAAGCTTGTGATCACCGCTGAAAAACCCATTTACTGTGACTCCACAATTCAAGGATACGTCGCTTAACATCTCTAAAAGCATTGGGATCCTTGGTGTCGACATCTATAGTGATTTACAGTAGTGAAGCTGGCATCTAAAAAACTCGGTGTGCTTAATAGAACTCCACGCCGGATCAACGATTAATGTTCTATAAATTGCAAATCCGGACATTAAATTAATTACATAGAGTATTGCTATCCCTTATGAGTGGAAGCATCTATATACCAGCTCGAACCCTTCGATTCAGTGCAACGACGAGCTATGAGAATTGTCAATAATACATCATAGTGGTATAAAAAAAATTAGTACGATGTTTCTGAATAATATTACTAGTCTTTTTTTCGTTTACAATAAATATATATAACGTGAGTTATGTATATGCCTGCGTCTTCTATGACTCTACACGTCAATCCCGACTATGGTCTATGTGTGTGTACTAAATTCGAATCGTTTGAAAATTTAATTATTAAACGGTTATTTAATATATGATTGACTTAATATATTCACAAACATTCCCTTTTATAATATTTGAGTAGAAACATAGAAATATTAGGAATATGATTACTAACGATCATGGTGGTTACAGGTTCGATCTCTGCACAACGGATACATTTGTATTCATTAGTGCATATATTTCATTATTTTCATAACTATAATTAATACATAAAAAGTAATTCAACTAAAGTAGAGTACTTAACTCAAGTAAAGTAACTAAATATAGTAGGTATTTATTAAATCTATTTTATTTAGATTTCAATGAAAATGGGTCAAATTGTTCTATGTAATCCATTAAGTACATAAATTTTACTTGTCGGCATTTTTGATATTATTACTTTGATTAAAGATAAGATAAGTTTTATATCAGTGAAATTAACATTTTTATCAATAAGTGATCCAGATTTTTTGGTAGTATATATAAGTAAAATTTCTCAATACACTCACAGTTAGTAGTAAAGTGGTGGTAAAATATATAATTTTATAAACAAAACGAAAAAAACTCAAATATGGCAAAGACGTTAAGTTGTATCCTGCTCGTAGCTATTCTAGGTAAGTTATTTTGAAAATATACAATTATTTTCGCTCTAGTACCTAATTTCACTAAAATATAACATATACACAACATATAACAATAACAATTTCCTATTATTATTAGTTTATAATAAAACTTAAATATCACATTCCATACAAAAGTTGTACTTTTAAAACTGTTCCGATTTTTAATAAAAAAAGAAATTAATATTCAGTTTTCATAGTACAAAATGTAAGTGGAGTTAATACACACTCGATAAATAAGAAAATACCTGCATGTCTAGATGTAAGATTTTTAAAAACACTGGTACTTTCAACTATAAACCCCACTGGATGATAATAGTAATTGTGAAGAAATAAATATAAAAAAATATTTTTCTCAAACATGCTTGGAAATGTGAGCATTATTTTGACAATCTTCTTAGAGATAAATCAAAATTGCCGTACTGGCCAGATACATGCAGATAGCGGTCGGCAAAAGTTGTATGAAAATCCATATCTGTCGTGTTTTGCGGCCAGATAAATTACTATGTAAACTCATATCTGTCCTGTAAATTAAAAATGGAATGACCTTTTACTTCGAAATATAGGTACCAAGGAGGTAATTAATAAAAGGTTTTATTTAAATTTCGAACTGGCTTGCAAATAGAAAGCTGTTTATTAAAAAAAAAAGGGTATTACTATTTATTAATGCAATGTAATAAGGGAATGAGTATTCCTATAAGTTGTGTATGGTGTTTGCCAGAGGCAAAGGATCAACTGAAACAAAGGAACATTATGGCGCGTGAAAAACTATTATTGTTCGTTATTCGTCATTGAACTTAAAAAGTAAAATTGTGTTTTTGATTTCTGCGCATTGTTTGAGAAAAGTACTATACAAGTCTTGGCCACAACTAGGAATTGATGGGCTCACGTATGGGTACCTCGGCTACGCCTCGGCCCACACTTGCACGTTTATCCATCTTTGACTCAGTTGCTGGCTGCTGCAGTAATGTACTATAATAGGCTTTAATTTCAATACCGTTTTAAGTCTTTGACTATGTATCTTGGGTCCTTTTTATAATATATTATTGTTTATAATAATAAAAGTATTGATAATAGGAGACCCATCAGAGGAAGACTTTGTACAAAAGTCGTTTGCTTGGGTACCTCTGTCCCATTTATGTTTCAACTTGAAGCGGTTGTATTTGCATGGCTGTGTTGCATGCTGTGTATCGTTTCGATATAGCGTGAATTTTTCAGGGTACAGAGGAATCATACAACTGCAATTGTTTATTTGTATTTGTTTAATATAATTAAATATAAAATCCCCCACTTACACATATAAACAGTGGAGGTAGCCCACATATTCCGCACTTGCACACACAGAAGTCGCCACTCAATCATTCTGTCTCAAATCAATGTGTGGTGAAGATTTTCCCATAGTTTAATAAATTTATAAAGAAGTAATACATATGTCTAGTGTTTGCTATTATTAATATTTAATAGTCCTGATATTAATAAGTTCATTCTCCTTGGAAACTGGACAATTATACAACTAACTCGATAATGAAATTTATAAAATACTAATATTATTTTTTATATGTAGAATAACTATACGTAAATTTCATATTGATATTAGAATATAAATCAAATGATTGCATTTAACGATATACCTTCCTAAAGTAATATGGACTCGATTACAACACATATTTGTTTTGGAAAAATATTAAGTATAGACTTATGCCTGCGATCACAGTCAAAAATCTAACTACGTAGTAATAAATAAAAGCTCACCGGATTCTCCAGTCTTCTATTGATTAATTTCACACACTTAATCGATAGTGATACACTAAGTCACATTTTCCGTAATATACAAAAAAAGCGACTCCCGCGCGCCCGCCGATCTGCCGTCTCACTACAATTTTTTTTTTTTCTATTCTTTCTTAATAACGTCATAGATTATGTCACCGAAGGGTAGATATTTCAATAATCAGATTTAGCCTTTATTCGAACTGAACTTTTCTTTAAATTCAATTAATATATGTTAACGTATTTTGGTATTTTATATTAAATTGATTATCGAATTTATAAAACTTTAAAGACTCTCATAAACCTTAGCGTGAATTTTTTTACAGGGTACAGAGGAATAACACCTGTGTCCTCAGGCATAGCAACGCATGGGGGTATCATGGGCGAAACTCTATTATGTCCATGGTACTGCTCATGTCTATAGGCGACGGTTACCACTTTCCATCAGGTGGGCCGTCACCTTATTTGCCATTCTAAGTTGTATAAAAAATGTTCTAAAAACATGCCATAAACTTATTATTAGGGGTCCGTGAATATGTTTTAAGCTTAGATTAGATTTTAGATTAGATTAGCAAGATAGAGTGTCTCCATACAAATGCTTCGAGAAAAGTGGGTCAACTTTTCATACAATTTTGCGTGATAAATAACTATGTTTCTTTTATATCTTTTATATTTAGTTTTATTTATAATTTTTAATGTAAACACTCATTTATACTACTTTATATATTACATTTTATATTTAGGATACATTTTGTGTGCATACAGAACATTGATAAAGAAACGAGTCAGCTGATTTGACAATTATGACTTTTTATTACTATTATATTACTTTTTTACTATTATTGACTATATGGTCTATTTATATAATGTAATATTTTTAGTCGTGCTTTATATTTAAACTATCATTTACTTGTAAATTTGCACGCATTTTCTGGAAATTTGGAAATATGAAGTGGTCACCTCGAGATGACGTATTAAAATAGTACTTTACTATATTTTAAGTGAAAACACAATCGTGAAAAGTTCGTCCAATAAGTAATTTTTGCTTAACGCTGGAATAGATAAGCAAAAATTCTAAAGAAATATTATTTAGGCATCCATTGTAGATAAAAAATCTTTCTAGTTTCCTCCAAAAGATTATAGTAGTAAACTTATTATAAATATAAACAAATACAAGACAAGATTACACTGACAAATCAATAGGCTCCCTTATCGCTAAAGGCATCTCTTTCAAGCAACCTTTAGATAGAGAGGAGTAATTATAAATTGTTTTACCGGAAGCACCAAATGAAACAAATTTTGTTCGTTTTAAACACATAGTTATCGAGATATAATACATACAACAATGTGAACTAGTTTCGCTTAGTGGTCGAAATTCGACCATAACATATATTGTAATAAATGAATTTATTATGGTTATGTTTGACATTCAATAAGATTATAGACAATTAATATTAAAAGACAAACAGTATTAATCTATTCTCAATTTGACCACAGACTAACAATAAACAAAAGAATATATATGCATGTGTGTGTGAAATATATGGTAGTGTGTGTATAGTTTTTTTTTTATTTAATGCATAACTTTAAAAAAATATTAGCATTTTGCACTCCTTTTCTATATAAACTATAAGTGTGCCAAATTTTATACTCCGTGCGCGCAATTTTCGTAAAAAGGAGTACAAAGTTTTTACTTCTCGTATATAGATGTATAAATGTATTTTTTAACTTATTGATATTCATACATATAAACATATGTACATGCCTATATGAATACTTATACATATACACACACACATAAAAAAAAACAATATGAGTATATTAATCAGACACAAAGATGGCATACTTGTATAACGTATTCACGTAATCTAAGGATAGAAAAATACTTCAGAAAGGTGCCAAAGATTTCGAATTTATCCCGTGTTTTCAACTGGCATCAAAAAAAGATTTTCAGTGAGGTTGCATTTTTTTTATATTTGTTACCTCAACTTCAATGATGAAGTCATTTATCAATTGAGTTTAAAAAATATTTTTTTAACTGAAAGGTTATATTTTCAGATTGGTCCCATAAAAATTTTTAGAAATCTGTTGAGGTAGTAGGTTTTAAATTAATATGATAAATTTTGGGGGCGATTAATCAGTGAGTCAGTATTTTTTCTTTGTGAAACCAAAACTATTATTAGTAGAATGTATATACATATTTTTAAAAATCGTTTATATTTTTTCAGGTGTTTGTATGGGCGAGAACATCACCGAAACAGCAAGAGTATCAAATGATATACGATATTTCTTATACACTCGGTATGATAACAAATATATACATTGTTTATGAATAAAAATTTCGTGTGACGTTGTTTGTCTACGATGAATTTCTTAACTACTCAATCGATTTTTTACGAAATTAAGCATACTGTATGCAGTTTAGTTCAACCTGAGAGATAGCATAGTTTTTATCTCAATTTAAAATAGCAATAGGTATTTTTATTAATTTTATCTGTGAATTCAGTAAATTTTTAACAGATGGCGGTAAAAATAATCGACACTTTTATGAATAGAGTAAGTATCCAATAGATTGCTCTTTATAAAGAGTTCTAACGTTGAATAAAATGAGTCCGCGATTACATTTGTATAATTGTAGACATTGATTTAATTTGTACATAAACAGTGAGGATTTGATATTAACATCATTTATATATATTTTCACGGCAAGTCATTTGCACAATAGGTGCAATAGTGCATAGCATACACCTCTTGCTTTATGCACTTTTATAATTCGTACCGCACGTACCCTGGTTCTAGAGACTCTTGACTCTTCTTTCAAATATTACTTAGTCTGTTTGATCGTATGATTGTCGTAGATCTCCCTCGTTATTAACACGCAACCATTTTCGTATTGCATACCAGTTATCAACCTTTCATTTGACATTATTTTACTATTAAATATGTATTTATTTGTATTTTTTAGTTCTAATAAAACTGCAATAAATCGTAAATAAATATCTATAATATTATTTGTGTCTATAAAAACGGCATCCACTTTCTATCATGAGCTATTCACTATTCTAAATGATCAATTCTTATTTATGTTGAAACTAATTAGAAGTTTTTTTTTTAGTGTTAATAATATACCCATAGAAATAAATACTAACGAAATTTCTAATGCCATTATGTCGGGGTTAACTACAGTTGTTATTGTGCATGGCCACGGAGGCTCCTCGAGGACATCTTTAAATCCTCTTGTTAAAGATGGTAAGAAAATAATTGACTTATCATATTTTTTGTTCTTTTCTTACTTGTATTTTTATAAAATCTTGTGTTGACTAACAAGTGTTATAATCATTAAATTTAACAGGTGTGGCATTTTTATGCATGTGAATAAAAATTATCCGAAACATACTTACAAATACTTGCTTTTACCTGTGACTTTGTCCGCGTGACTAGATATATGTTGATTGATCGGGATAAAGAGTAGCCTATGCCTTATTCATTCCATACATTATGTGTATATATATATATATATATATATATATATATATATATATATATATATATATATATATATATATATATATATATATATATATATATATATATATATATATATATATATATATATATATATATATATATATATATATATATATATAAATACCTAAAGATAAAAATTTTTAAACCCCGAAATGGACAATTGACGGTACCGATATTGATATAATATATTGACTCTTAGTTTTTCTATGATATGTTTCTTGGTCCACTTTCCTTCAAGAAGATGCAGCCAACCCTCGAAAAAAAATTTCTTCATTTCAGTTCACAGGGCGTACAGTCCCTGTGCTCGCTCAGGACCGTATGGTCACATTTTAAATTATTACGAAAAAATCTTATTTATTCCGAATCTGAGTACTTCTTTCCACTAATGTTAGGTATAAGTGTGAAAGTGTGTAAAGATGTTCGGATATTTTTATATTTGTTACTCAATCATATTTAAACGGTTTATAACAAACCAGCTGCTGCAGCTTTACACGCGTTGTATTATTTTAAGTTGTGTTTCAACTTTCTGTTGTTTTAAGTTGAAAACATGTTAATTTTATGTGTTAATAAAAATTTTCGCAATGTTTCTTTCAGAACTATTGATATATGAAAACGTGAATGTGATCGTAGTAGATTGGTCAGTATATGCAAGACTGTCGTACTCGCGGGCTGATAACTATGTTCGGGAGATTGCTCAAGATTTATCAAATTTACTTATATCTCAATATGAAACCTTTGGTGGTGGTGTAGCACCTGAAAAACTTCACTTAGTTGGCTTTAATCTTGGTGCACATATTGTTGGTCAAACAGGCAGATATTTGCGTAGCTTTGGTAACAGCGTTGCAAGAATTACAGGTATTTCAATTTCCTATGTCCATTGGTTTTAAAAGTCTTGATAATTTTTTTGTAATAAATCTTATATCTAAATAGGATTAATAGCGCTCTTAAATCAAAGATAAACGATTTGTTTACACCCATTTACGACTATTCGATCTATCCATTGATTCATAAAAAGGCCCTCCTTTGTAGCCTAATTATAAAAAAAACCAACCTGTATATTAAAGTGATTACAGTAACTCTAGCAACCGGCAACCATTAACCGATGGGGAAGAAAACTTCTCGAGTGACGACCCTTCACGAGTTAGAATAACTATCTCAAAAGTCTTGTTTGACGCAAATTATGCATGTTTTGTAGTCGACAGAAATAGGTTATGGTGATAATGATGAGGATGACAAGTACAATATAAGTAAATCTCTGGCCCTTTTCAGCTTGCAATAATAATTTTCTAACTGCAAGGTTTTATTTTACAATAGGACTGATATACCTGAAGAAGGTAAAAGCCCATAAAATAATATTAAAAAAAAAAAGGTTTTATTTAAAAGCAATGTTTTAAAAATGTTGTTATAAACTAAAATCAGAGTCAAATTAAATTACTTTCGTGTTTTAATAATTTGTCTATAACATATTGTTAAATAAATTTTACCTTTTTTTTTAAATTACAGCTTTAGATCCTTCAAAAAGCAGTTACAGATTGCAACAATCAGATGCTGAATACGTTGAAGTAATTCACACTGACACCAATTGCCCTTTGGCTAATGGACTTGGTACTCAATTAGGAGATTTGGATTTCTATCCTAATGGCGGCAACAAGCAACCTGGTTGCTTTGGCTTCAACACGTGTGACCACAACCGCGCGTGGGAGTTCTTTGCAGCGTCACAGGGCCTCAATTCTTTTTCTGCGCGTTGTTGTACTTCAAAGACCCAAATGAAATTAAATACTTGCAGAGGAACAGAGATTAGAATGGGAGGAAATGATCTTCTTCCAAAAACAGGGTAATTATTGTAACAGTTTTTTGTGCAATTTATAATGGTAAACTAACTGATATATACTGACAAACTATACTGATAAACTACTGTCAGTCCACTTGATGGGAAATGGTAAAGGTTACCTACCTATAGATATAAACAGCACATTGGACACAACAAAATATTCTATGACATCCATGGATTATTTGGTTGATTGGTTGTCATTCCTGAGGAATATAATATTATACCTCCATAACCTGTAATCTCACTATCACACTAGACCCTTCAAATCAAAACATATTCTTGCAAGCACATCTGTTTTACAACAGAAATACGATTAAGACAGAGATATTAAAGCAGATGCCTTTTGTACACAAAGTTTCCCTCTAGAGTTAGTTTCATTAAGATAATTTTACTTAAAACCGTGTTTGAATGTGGTAGAAGAAAAATTAAATACCACGTATTTTGTTTCAGTTGCGAAAGTGGAATCCTCCGAGTCAACACTGGACGCACATATCCATTCTTTTAAGATTATCAGTATTTACAATAGTGTAGCTTAACTATATGTATATTTATATCTTGGAAATTAAATTTGTAATAACTTTATTTATTTTTGTTTAACTACTACTAAAATGTTAAATGAATAAATGATAATATATATATATATATATATATATATATATATATATATATATATATATATATATATATAATAATATATTCAATCGTGAATGTATAGTAATTATAATATAATGAGTAAATAAATAAAAAATAAGTAAAACAAATACATATTGTAAGATTAAGTAGAATAATATAAGATTGCAGACAACAAAAAAAAAAACAACTTCAATTGTGGCAAAACTACTTATTTTGATTTAAAACTAAACTACTTATCCGATTTTGATAAAATATCTATGAGAACAGTAAATAAATTCTTTCAGATAAAAAAAAAGGAATTTCCAAATCAGTTTATAATTATTGATGGAGTTATGAGATAACAAATATAAAAAATACAACCTTCTTCTTTTTAAAATCTGTTGAAAAGAAAACTATACAAAGTTGCTTTATGTTTTTTTAGTAAAGTACAAATGAGACTCTTATAGAATCATTATAGACAGTGAGTCTATGAGGTAGAATAGAATAGAAAATATTTATTGCCAGAAAAACACATATTTATAACAGAAAATACAGTAATATATAAGATGTGTCCTATATTAGGTAAGAGGAACTAGCTCAGCTAATGCTGTAGGTGTCCCGGTGTAATGTGCACAGCAGAACAGTACTGGTTTTTAGTCAGTCCCTCTTTCAAAATGAGATGACGACGTACGCTTTTTCTTTTTCATAAAAGCGTTGAACGAAACGATTCTATTGTTCAATACGATGCCCACGGCCATTTTCTATCATCGTAAAGCTCGCTATCGATGGGGAGTTTAAATACCTTAGAACCTGTGTGGTCGCGTACAACGCAGTTTCAGAGATGTTTCCTACCACGAAAGCTCAGGTTATGGAATGAGCTCCCTGTTGTGGTTTTTCCAAGAGACATGAAGTCAAGAGGCTGTAATGTCTTCAAAAAAGGCGAAAAGAGGTTTCTTCAGGGTCAGCAATGCGCCCCTTGGTATTACAGACGTTTATAGGCATATACCGTAAGCGTTTACCATCAGGTGGGCCCTATACTTGTTCGCCTCACCACCTCAGTGGTATAAAAAAGTTCTAACGATAGATTCGTTTGTACTTGTCTAGGGGGTCGACTCGATAGAGCATTATGATTTATCATTATGATTCATTCAGGCATCGATCGTGTATCATTATTATGTTGTTTGATCAATATTTAATCCATTTCAAACATACAATGTGCCGTTTTGCTACATGTTGTAAGTATATATTAAAAAAAAATATTCATGTATATCTCACTTGTCTAAATAGGTTTTCATAGTCTTGTTAGTTTAGGATCAGACACAGTAACACAAATACAGTGTGGTAACAATATATAACATTATGTGCTATACAATTACTCCAATTCCCTGGTTCTTAAGTTAGGATACCTTGTGTTAAGAGGTATGAATAACACATAACACATAGAGCCATGTTACTATAATTACATTATTACCATATAATCCTAAACTAACACATCACGAATATCTCGAAAACCGACAACAGATAGGAAATAATGGTTCTTGAGTGGCGACTCCGTACAGGCAAACGCAGTGTGAAACGACCCCCCCCCTTTAAATGGGATGATGACCTCAAATGCAAAGAATCAGTATATGCAGATGGCTCTGGACTGTTTCTTATGGCATATTGTGGTCTATGGGGGAGACCTGTGTTCAGTAGTGGCCAGGTAGAGGAGTGATAATAAAAGGTAACCGCGGGCGTTTTCTTGAACAATTCCTTAGAACATAATCCATTATGTACGCGGAAGAAAACAAAGGGAGCTGTAAAGTCTTGCCTTAGAGACGGCGCTTTTGAATCTAGAATCATCGACAATTATTTTAGACACACTGAATCATAAGGACAAACTGGTATCCAAACTCCCTCCCATAGGTAATGATTCTATAGACAGGACTTACAACTACTTAATATCTTAATGAATACACAAAAGATCCAGGTCTGTAAGAGATTGTTTTTAGCCAATGTATATGCACATTCTGTATAAATACTCCTTGTATACATCTCTACTGTGCGCAAATAAAGAGTTTATTATTATTATTAAAAGAATTAAGTTTAAGGAAAAAGTTTCCATTTTAAAGTCCTCATTAGTCATTTAGTCACCTTAGTAAACTCAGTTATCGGAATTTTACGTATTAATTTAATTAAAGATAAGTTTATATCGGCTTATCAATGACCGAATGAATCAAGATTTTATGTGTATATATACATATATATTTGATTTTTCTAGACATTATTCTTATTTAGTGATGCTATAGCCGTGAAGATATATTACGGTGCAAATTATTATTCAGTATTAATTTTAACATGGCAAAGATATTTAGTTTTGTTCTGCTCGTAGCAGTTTTAGGTAAGTTATTTTTAAATTATGTATTTTCTTAATAACTGCAAAAATAAAATAATAAACCGGAGCGAAACTGCTTAAAATTTTCTACCGTATGTTCCTTTCTGCAGCCAAACAGCTGTATTCGTATGGCTGTGAAGGGTTAAAAGATGAAATTACTATAAGATCCGAAAAGACGACACATTATATTTTGTGTGCAGTTCATCAGTACAAAACTAATTTTTGTAAATTTACATATTAGGTACACACACAATTGTAATATGATCTATTAAAATAAATATAATATATAGAAAATGCATAAAATTAAAGAATTTGCTTTAAGAGGCCTTTGACATTTGTCTGTATAAAATAATGAAATAATGGAGTTTTTCCGGTTCTGGTCCTTAGTTAATAATTAATAGTTTGGTTTAACATTTTGATACTTTAATTATATAGACAGGTTTTTTATCTTAAATATAGTATTAGTAATTTTTTTTTTCATTATTCTGTACTATTTTATTCTAATAACGGTGAAAAATTTAGAAACATTGTGCATTAATAAAGTAATATAAATTTTGCATGGTATCAATATAAAAACTTGGTAATTATTATTTAAATTAAGATAGTGTTATTTTTTCACCGAAGTATTTAAATAAATAGATCTTACCTTTTTACTAAATCTTGCCAAAATCATTTCATTAAAAATACATAATAATAAAGTGAATATATTTGTAAATACTAGTTTATTATACTAATAATAAAAATCATTTTGAACTTTCCAGAAAAAAGTAATAAACAGCAATATTAAATATATTTCTATGCACAACTCAATGTGCGTAATCTAAAGTCGTTACCACTATTTCTATTATATTTAGTTCATTTAGAGAGCCGATAGCTTTTTTAAAAAAAATAGTTACTTTTGATTTTGGAAGTTAATCTAAATAATTAAGAATTACTATGTAATACATAATAAAATAATAATAGGTAATATTGTTATGTGCTGTAGATGTCGTAATGCGAATAAGAGAGGGCGAGAGATGGGCGGCAGCGTCGCTTTTAAAACATATCCAAAGCCTAATTGCGGTTGCCGATCCGCCTGCCAAGTGTGGCAATTACTAGCAAAACCCCCAAGGAGAAGGCTTATGTTCAATTGAATGGCTTATGGACAATTAAAAGCTGATATGATGATATAATATTATATGTATGCAAAATAAGTTTATTTGTATATTACCTCTTAACACATTAACGGTTTAACCAATTGTTATGAAAATTGATAGATATAATAGGTATTAAGGATAAAGAAGAACATTAGTTGTATTTTAAAATAAAATAATAAAAAAATATTTCAATTTTATTGTCGTAAAAATCAGACAGGGAAAGAAATAAGAATAATTATTTTATCATGATTAAAATAAATCACGACAATCTATGACTCGATAACATATAATCCGATATATATGATATTAAAACCAGAATCATTTAAAATATTGAAATTTATTATTAGAGTAATTATTAATTTTTCACAAATTATATTTAAATTTCAAAGTTTTTTTTTCGAGTAGGTACTTAATTGTATTAAAAATACTCATAATATACTTCCATATTACTGTATTATACTGCATCAAATGTATATTATAAACAATAAAGATTTTTTAGAATAAAATCGTCTATTAATAGGTATTTTACTTAGGTACTGAAATGTCTTTTCGATGAACATATTCCAGTTATTTCATATTGTTTAAATTATTTTTGTTGTTTTTTACTGTAATTTAAACAATTACTAAATTGATTAAATTACAATTAGGATTTATCTAAGTACTTATAATGTATACTTACAATTTTAATTACAATTAATATCATTTTTTTCAGCTTATTGCAAAGGCGACTCTATCAATAAAGTGTCAAGAGTAGCGAATATTAATAGATATTTCTTATATACACGGTTTGTATTTTTTATCATTTTTAATCGTGATGTTTTAATTTTTTTAAATAGTGAACGCAGGTGCTATGTATCGTTCTTAATAACAATCTATGGGGGAGGCCTATATTCAGACGCAGATGGATAATGGCTGAGATGATGATAAAGACACAAATAAAGCAAAATAAATAAAACCGTTAAAAAAATAGTCACGTTATGAAATATTCTTAGATTATATACAAAACAGGTCAACTTTTTGTCAGCTAATTATCATATTAGCTGAATCTTTTTTTATCAGTATTCTATATATAATATTTACGCATAAAATGTATCTTGGAGATTTATTTAAGAAATAAAATGACTATTTACGTATTAAAAAGATGCATAATTTATAAGACAAAATAAATATAGAAATAATAAAGGAGTCACTATTTATCACGCAATATTGTATGAAACAGTTAACCTGTTTTTCTCGAAGCATTTCTATGGAAACACTTTCTATATAATCTAAGGAAATATTATATTAAATATACAATTTTTGTTTTAGTAACAATAAAGTAGTCCCAATAGAATTAGAGAGGTTAGTACCAGATAACAACATTGTATTGAATCGGACCACCGTCTTCCTAGTGCATGGCCATGGAGGCACCGCCACTACGACATTAAATTCCCTTGTCAAAAATGGTAAGAAAGTAGCTCATATTTAATTTCTGTACTAATATTTTATATCATACTATTTTTAAGTATATATAGAGTAACAGTCAAAAATTTTTCAAGTCGCTTATAAAAAATAATATTTAAAAAAAAGAACGATAAGATTGTCAACTCGCCTGGGTTATACATTATTTTCACCATTATTAAATAGATTTCTACAATTAATTTTAATAACTCCTATCAGTATTATGACTGAAGTAACTAGTTTTTTTTTTTCTCGTGAAGCAAAAACTTATAATTGATCAATTAGTCAAAATTACTTTGCGTTGTACAACACTAGTGTAGTCTTGACCAGTTAGGACCTTTTTATAATTTACATATGCAGCTAGTTTTGCATTGTTTGTTTAGAACTTATTTTTAACACCTATCTATATCTCAATCTATCTGTAATTACAATTATCAATGTCTGTACTTCGTTCAAGCGTCATATAAAAACTGTTTTGATGGTTACATTATATGAATCACGGAAGTAAATCATATCGATAAGAAAAAACTCCATGTATGAATCTATAAATATTATTTGTTCTATTTATCTCAAAATTTATTAGAATAATTATATTGACATAATTTGATCCTATGTATAAATAGACGTATAGAAATAACAACTTAATCGAACAAAACTGTATTGCAGTTCAAAGATCTTAAAACGGAATCTCAGTCTAATACTCTTAATTTATCAAATTGAATATATGGATAATTTATAATTAATTGATTAAAATTATTTTGTTTAATTTCGCTGCCAATAGTATGAGAAATAACTGCTATTATTATTAGTAGAAGCTTTACGACATTCTCTATTAGTCATCAATTTCTGATCACTATTTAGTCTTCGCATACATATGTATGGTACTCGTATTTCATTTCTAAATGAAACATCTTCAGGCAATTTAATAGACCGCTGTTATACCTCATAGTATTAGCATAATAGAGAATTCTAATCAATTAATCAGTGCCAACTAAGTAGTATCCACATAATGACACCTAGTTTAGTAAAATACTTACTTAATATTTCAAAGTACACTTAAGTCATGCTAGAGACCTTCGTGCATAAGGTAAAAGGATTCTTCAAAATGATCTTAACAAACGATAACAAAAGAAGAAAAATAGATATGATATAAGAGCCGTCAAAAATAGAATCTAGAGACAACACTATAATACAAGTAACATCACTATGACATTTTTATTTACTAATAATTTATTTTAAATGTTAAACATAATCTCTTTTAAATTTAAATTCAGATAAAAAATATCTTTAAATTATTTGATGATCTGATAAATTGTGTTTGTTATTCTTTTCGAAATATTATTATTACCTAAGCGTATATCATCATTAAAAAACATTATTAATGAAATTTGTTACTTTCAGAATTATTGGAAATAACTGAAGACGTGAACGTGATCGTAGTAGACTGGTCAGAGTACGCAAGTTTGTCGTATTCAAATGCCGATCGCCATCTTTTAAATGTTGCTACATATTTTGTTGACTTCCTTGTCATACAAGGTTTTAACTCTAGACCCGAAACAATTCACTTGGTTGGTTTTGATCTTGGTGCACACATTGTTGGTTTAACTGGAAGACGGTTTCCCAATATTGCAAGAATTACAGGTATTTATTTGCATTAAACTTAATATACCAAATAGTATTAGATTTTATATCTAATTTCGATGCTAGATAAATTGAAAACTTACAATCAGTAATAATTGTAAAAAAATATTCATGTGACTATCATCAAGATACAGAAAAAATTACAACAAAAGATGTACAGACAGAAAAAGATATTTTCTAATTATTTGAAATAGCGAAAGTAAAAACCAGTAGTTCAATAATCCAACTTTAGTTATTAGAAACCTAATCACTTGTAATTAGATTCAACTATAAACTTACAATGAAATTTTTCAACGGAAGACTGAGCCCATTATATGGATAGAGTTAAGTTTCCTTTTTTATAATTACAGCTTTGGATCCTTCGAAGAGCTCATACAGGTTGCAAAAAACAGACGCTATCTACGTTGAAGTAATCCATACTGATGGAAATGGCCTTTTTTCTAACGGTCTTGGTACACAGCTAGGAGATTTAGACTTCTTTCCTAATGGTGGTAACAGTCAACCTGGATGCCTTTCGAACTCATGCGACCACAATCGCGCATGGCAGTTCTTTGCAGCATCACAACGTCTAAACACATTTCTCGCTCATTGCTGTAACTCAATGACCCAAATGAAATATAACAGCTGTAGAGGAGGCGGCTTTATTCAAATGGGAGGAAACACACTTCTTCCAAAAACTGGGTAATTATAGTGGCAGTTTTTAACAATTCGCGGCAAATGACTTGAACATTATGATAGTAAAACTTGCACAGTTGATATTTTTAATACGTGACTATGGGCAGAAAACCAACAACCGATAGGTAAGAAAGGTTCCTGAGTGGCGACCCCGTACGACCAAGCACAGTACAGAATGATAAATGGAGTGACGATTTCAAAAGCATTGCAAGGAGTTAGTGAATGCAGGTGGCTCAGGACCGTTCATTATGACAGTCTATGGGGAAGGGGTGTGTTCAACAGTAGACGGATAATGGCCGAGATGATGATGATGATGATGAGACGTTATCAAGCAACTATCAAAAGTCGCAAGAAGGTCGCAATTACTTTACCAATAATTTTGAATACTGACTAGGGACTGATCTCTCCTATGCTAATCCTATGTTAATTTTAAGACAAGTATAATAACGGTTTTTCGGCATAAAAATCTACTCGTTTCGAAACAAAATCTACACAGGTTCATGTGACTTTGCATTCTAAATTCAAATATTTTCAATCTAATATGCGTACCATAGATAATATCCTAACTATCTTCGTTTATACATAAACAAATAATTGTTAGTTGTTGCCTCTTAGCGGCTTAACGGCTCAACCATTCGTTATGAAATTTAGTATGAACATATTGTATGAACATATTGCAACAGCAAAAGCTAGTAATCCTATAATAATGATGCATATAAAACAAACTTAGTATAACATATTCAAATATGAAAAATCTCGTTATTCATCAATATGTCTTAACACTATTAAAATCTGTTATAAAAGTATTAATTACTATGTAAGTCACATGGTGAAAGTGTTACCATAATAAAAAATAATCTGTCTCATTCTTATGGTGTTGTTCAAGTCATTTGTTAATATCAATAATTAGTTACGTTATAAGGTTAAAAGCATTCATAACTTTAGCTTACCACAGAGTAGATACGTCACAATTGTTCATCAATTTAAAAAAAATTGTGAGTGATTATTAAAAAAAAACTTGCTAACAAAAACGTTAATCATAGAATACGCTGTATATTAATCTACCACTAAAGAATTTGCACCCATTTCATATTTTGCTTCAGATTTTTTTTAAAATTCAAATTATTAGTGACAGCTTAATAAAAATATTACAGTATGATAAACGTTTTAGTTCTCTAACAAAGCACATCTTAAATAATCACCTGAAAATATTAAAAATGTTTTTGTTAAAATGGACAATTGCGACGTTGCCACACTACAGTACATTAAAGTTGAACGTTCTTAAGTTTAACAATTTTACCTGTAACACTTATAATATATTGTTTCAGTTGCGATAGTGGAATTCTCCGTGTCAACACTGGCCGCACTTACCCTTATTAATATCTTAATGCTGGTGATTGTCAGTACTTAGAATGAAGAGTAGAATTATTCTCATTTACAAAGATGATCCTTATTAATAATTTGAATAAATGTGATTCAAAAATATATATATATTTTTTTATTATTTTAAATCCATGTAGTACTAAATATAAATTACCATTGCAGTTTTTTTTTATTGAAAATCGACTAATATTAAATGGATATATAATGAATAGCCAAACCGGAAACCAAAAAATCAAAACAAAGATAGTTCTGAATTCGGATATATATATATATATATATATATATATATATATATATATATATATATATATATATATATATATATATATATATATATATATATATATATATATACGCAATATCTTACGGATATAATTAAATTATATATCTGCAGATAGGAGATATTTAAGAAAAATTTATGTGAGAGGCTTAATAAAGGCAATAAAAGCAGATACAATATTTTTTAGATATTTGTTTGTACGTGTATTTGTTCCGGCATAATACAAAAACTACTGCACCAAATTCAATATGGTTTCCACAGTTGTATTCTTGAAGATCTAAATTAAAAACTAGTGTCTATTTTATCTTAATAGACCATCAAAAAGTCACCTATTTCATTGGTTTTTCTACATTTGAAATCCATGCGTATGAAGCAGTGTGTAAATAGTCTTTTCTAATTATGTGAATAGGGGGGAAATGGATTGTTAGTAATGGAGATTAAAAATCCCATTGCTAGCAATATACCCAACCAGGTCGACCTCCTCGCGGTTCTCCCTGGAAACTATCATGGTTAATTCTTGATGGATTCATCATGATGGGCTAACTGGCCTATTTTCATTGTCATCGATCACCCTTCACTGGTGCCCGCCAGCGTATCCCATTAGCGCAGGCGGGGTTACCATTACATTATCCTACTACCTATCAAAAAAAAAATATGTGAATAGTAAATACTATTAGTAACTACATATTTATCAAACCGTGCTCATAGATTAAAAATTGATATTAATTGTACATAGGTATAACATCTTAGTAATAAAAAGAAACTAATAACAACTCGTAATACTTTTTCATTTATCATACGGTTCAATGAACAGTCAAATGGTATTAAGGATAAGAAGCCTTTCTAAATGTGTAAACTTATCCGATACGATTAGTTTTCCCGTTAAGTAACTATCAACAAACGATGCAGGTCAATGACTTACTTAATACTTTAATTTTTATTCTAAATAGATTGATTCATTTATACTACCAAAGAAAGAGACTTTGTACAAGTCGTCTGCATGGGCACTTTTGTCCCACTGGTATTTCTGCAGCGTAGCAGCTGTGTTTTTTTAATGGCTGATAATAGAATGGTAACTCCATTTGAGTTAACGGTATACGCTAGCGGAGCACCAGTGAGGGATGATAGGTGATAATGAAAAAGAAGGTCAGTTAGCTCATCGTGATGAATACATCTGGAATTCAGTACGATGGTATCCAGGGGTAGCCGCTTGGAGGTCAATCTGACAGGGTATATTGCTAGCAATGGGACTGATAGTCCGCTTTTTTGACAATTCCTTCCCCCTAGCAGCTGTGTTTGCATAACTGTTTCAGTTTAAAGGATGAGATATAATAATGGAACTCATCGTGATTGATTCTTTGGTGAATTTGTCACCATAGGGTAACTGACCTGCTTCATCTTCATCTATTGTTCCTCTTTGGTGCCCCGCCAGTGTATACCGATAGCGCATGCGGGGTTACAATTCCATTATCATCCATAAAAAAAAACATCGTAGTTCTTAGGAACGTCAACGCAAAAGGGATATCATAAGCATAATAGTGCATTCTGTAATATCCATGAAATGAAATGAAATGAAATGAATTTATTTTGCTAGAATGTAGGTAATTTTAGATGATAGAGGTTTATATTTCCCGTGTACATTCTGCCTCTATGTCGGCGTGCAAATTTTATATATATTCTACATTATATTTCCTTTCCTTTGTCATACTATATATTATTATTATTCATTACAGTAAACGGAAAATAAAAGCCTGTACAATAGTTGTCGAAATTAATAAAATATTTTAATAAATTGTGATATTAATTAGTGTATAAGAACAGAAGCATCAATGGTATCTCTAGTGTAGGTTGTGAAGTGCCTTTGTTTTTTTTAGCGAAATATTCATTAATGGTATAAAACCCATTACATAACATGGTGCTGTTCATGTCTATAAGCGACTGTTACCACTTTTCATCAGATTGGTTGTCGACTTATTTGTTATAGTTAATTTTAAACTTTCGCGTTGTTTACACATATTTTTAATACACAATCGAAACTTAACGCGATGAAAAAGCCTTTACAGGTAAATAGTACCTACATACCTGCTTTTTTATTGCCGATATTTCGATGTGGATTTCGTGGTGGACACGTCGTGGTCAGTTTAGTTTCTATTTACCTGTAAAAGCTTTTCATCTTGTTAATTCCCGGTTGTATATTCAAAATACTTATTTGTTATTTCAATTGTCGTAAAAAAAATCATGAAAACTTCACTTTTATTAACTATCCGGTAAATCTCAAATACATTTTTGCGCCTGCACTATTCTGGTTAGCAATAATACTCTTATTATTATCACGTGTACAGTTGGACACTTAAATAGCAGAATATGTATGGATAAAAAAATTGGTACTAAGATGAACATTGACTGTTCACTGCTGAATATAGGCCTCCCCAATACCCCCTGACAAAACCCCCCGGTTTTGTCAGTAGTTTCCACGCTTGGCCGTCGGATTTACAACCACAGTTAGGCTTTAATGACATTTTAAGAGAGTCACTGCTGCCCATTTCTTGACCATTAAGTTCGTTCCATACCATGTGTTCCCCGCATAGAAAGGGCCACTTTCTTTTCTGTAGATGTCGTAAAAGGCGACTAATCGAACTCAACCAATAATATAGATATAGTATATATTTATATTTACAGATCAATGATTATTTTAATATTTATGTGTATATAAATTGGTATCAGAATCGATTGATACTGAATTCCCAACAGTTATTTAAATAAAAATACGATTTCGATGAATTGCCATTTGCAATTTTTCGCTAATATGCCCCGAAACCGGCACATAGATATCCATATTTATGACGTTTACCGCAATAACTTGACTTTTGGAATTACAAAATATATTGAATGAAATGTAATAATTTTGATATTATTGTTCAATTAAATTAATTTACTATTTTTATATTTAAACAACTTCAAAAAGGTAGTTATTGAGGTATTATTAGAGGCAACTAACAGAATTTATGTTCTGTTAGCCCCTCTTAAAACATTACCAAAGCCTAACTGCGTTTGTCAATCCACCTTGTAATGGTCCCCCCCCCCACATAAATTTTTTTTAAAAAATAAAGAAAAGGTCATGTAGCTTTTAAACCCTAAACACATAAATATAATTAGATCATTATAGTGAACACTCGATCATTTGGTCAAATTAATAAGTGTGTGATCGTCTAATGTGTCTAATAATGTAGGACCCGTTGTGTGTGTTCCAAGAAGTTCTTTAATTGGTATATGACAGAAGTTAAATAATAAAGATGATTGATCAATCTTTAAGGATTAAGAATACCTAATGAATTATACTCATATTTCATGAAACTAGAAAGTTATGTTAATTTAATATTAAATTACAAAATAATTGTAATAAAAAAATATAGGGGAGTGGTCGAGTCCCCCACATGCCCTGATCAGTGGAAGACTTTCCAACTATCTATAGCTCTTCCTCCTGAAAAGACAGGGATATTGAAAATGCATAATGCACTGGGTAGGTAGGGAAGTATAGAGTATTCTCAGTTCCAAATCAAATCAAAAGTACATCAACATTATAATGGCTCCACCAACCCCACAATGCTTCCAGTAGAAAAGTAGTTGTTTTGCCAATAGCAAAGGATCGAAACTGAAGTCCCGGGATCACTCAGACAAGAGAGTTTACTTTGGATGCAACCCCTTTCGGTCCTATAAGGTGACATTAAGCGATCAACCCGTAGATACAGCACGTAGTCGAAACTGAAGTCCCAGCATCACTCAGTCACGAGCTTACTAATGGGGGTTTCCCTTCGGCTCAAATGTGACAATAGAAATCAAACTGTGGAGACAACCCGAGACTTCGGATAACAAAATGGCATTTAAATAAAGCATAATAATAATCGATCTAATAGATGAAATAAAACCGTAATAACTATTTCAACAAGGCTATCAATATCTAAATTTTAGTTTAGTGAAATAGGCTTATTGGAAGAGTATTTTATTATTGTTTACATAAAAAGACGTTTAAAAAAATATCACTAAAATCGACTTAACATTTTTAAAATAATATAATAAAACATTGAAACTAATTTACTTAATTATCTAAATTATTATAAATGATAATTCAATGTGATACATTCGAGACCTATCCTAACATTACGTTAAAAAAATTTTACCAAAATGGACCACTGAGGTGGCATACAAGCATACGGCATACTTGATGGTAAATGGTCACCGTACCCATTTTGAACATTATTTAACAATGCATCAATATCAAATATCTTAAATTAATATTAAATGGACGTTCATATAGTATTAATCTTGTTAGATCGTTTTCTAGTTTTTTACATTTTTCTGTAAACGTTAAAATATTAATTTATTATTTAAACTTCTTGCAAGTTCAACACCTTTCCACAAGATGGCGTTAAATGTATTTTTACACATATGACGAACCGTTACAACCTGCCAAGCATAGTAACTACTGGCAAAACTCTTCTTATGAGAAAGATTTATATTCAACAGTGGACAGTTAACGGCTAATATTTATATGTTTGCCAATTAAGATTATTATTAGTCAATAGGGAGACATTGTATTTATTGTATTTATTTTACTAAACGGATACTTCGTATAAGTCTTCTGCTGGAGTACCCACAACACATTCAAGTTTCTGCTGTAGCTATAATTCAGTTTCAAAAGTAAGATATAGAAGTAAAATTACAGGGTACAGAAGCATAACATCTTAGTCCTCACGAATGGTACCGCATAAAGATACTCTTTACTGTAGGATATCCATGGCATTGATTATATCTTTAGGCGACGGTTACCACATTCCATCATGTGAGTCGTCAACTTATTTGATATTCTAAATACAAATGAAAATATAAGCTTTATTTACAGAAAAGACAGATGTATTGATTATCAATGGTTACTAATTAATTGATGAAAAAAAAATTAATAGAGAAAAGAAATCTACTAGGACAAAATAAAAGAAGACACCGCTGCTTATACTTTTATTATACTGCACCATTTCATTAATAAGGACAGACATAACGATGATTTAAATAAAAAAAAAATACTTAAAAGTATTTCTAAAATACATATAATATCAAATACAGTAACAAAACTTGAGAGAAATTTCAGTATAAGCCTTCAAAGCATAACCACAAAGCAATATGAATATTTCGAAGTCATTATTGCTTGCTGAATTAATTAAATTGTAACGGTTTGCATGCAACTTCGCCTGTATCAGTCACTACAAATACCAATGTTAATTGATAAAATAATATTTAACTGGATTGTTATTAAATCCAAAATCATTTGCAGTATTTTTATATGAGTATTATTATTTTAGTAGAGAGTTATTTTATTATAACGGAACATTTTTCTTGAACAAACATAATTAAATAAAATTAAATAATCAACCAACTTTTCGAGCCTTCCATAGTAACTAATAAGGCTCGTCTGGCTATAAAGTTACTTTGTTTGTGGAAGACTCTAAACATATATTTAGATAATTATGGATTTCATAAAATATTAAAACAATATCTTCTTACGTTCACATATTGTTGAAAATATTATAGATAAATAATACTTAGCTCGAACCACTCGACTCTACTCACACTCCTTTATGTTCTCTATTCCCTTGGGAATTTCCAAAAAGTTTTTATTGGATGCCAAACTCACACATTATAACTTTGTTACTAGGTTTATTACATTTGTCACTTCCGTATATGTTCTTCTACTTAACCGATTTCCAACTATATGTTGGAAATCGATACACAATAGGAAAATAATAAAAATTTTCTCTGACATTTACTTGCATTTCAACAACTTAACAATCTATTAATATCTCACTGGTGGGCACAGGTTTCTTCTTTTAAGGTACTACCTGTATATGGTGACTTCACCCCTAAATTTCCTCAAGAAAAAGAGTTATTAAATACAAAAATAGTTTTTCAAATCTGACTGGTTGTAGTTCCAGAGATTAATGTGTTCAAACAAACACTTCACTTTAATATATTAGTATAAATCAATATAGGTATATTTTTTTATGCAGCTTACAGTGGCAAACAACGGCCCATCTGATGGTAAATGGTAACTTGTATTATTGTACTAGACGAACCATTTGCCTTAAAGTTTTGAGTTTTTTTTTTCTATTATATTCTAGCCTATTATAGTCATGTCTTAGAATATACTCTGGATAAAATAAAGTGATGATATACTGCATTCTTAATTTGTCATCACACGGTGTCACTTCCTTACGTTCTATGTACATTTTATTCATAATACATAATTTTATATTAAATCATACATGCATAAAACTACATTTATTAAAAGTAAAAAATATATAATAGCAAAATTTGTAAAAAAAAATGCAATTGTAGATCTTGTGTTGATTTTTAAGCATCATCAGTCTCTAATCACCTTTCTTTAATCAACTACTCATCGAGAATAGTATATTAGTTCAATTTAGGAATTCTTGCAACCGCCTTCTGACTTTATCATTAAATCTAATCTCCTACACCATACAATTTATATAAAAACTTGTTATAATAAAAAAAAATTAATAAAATTTAGTTTGTTGTTTAAGCACCGTAAGAAAGGCGTGATATTTGTCGCCGTGTATAATGTTTCTTCGCTACAGGATTTATTGATCCGGAAAGCGTTCCATGGGATTTAATAGGCTTAACATTATTATGCTTATCCCAAATCATATCAATAATGAACCATTGACAAGTATAATAAAAACAGTTCTCCAGAAATGTAAACATCGCCAATAAAAACAGTTTGAAGGGGCTTAGCAACTTCAGAACTGGATAGATGTATTCTTCGTTATAGACGCAGTTCAATAACCTGATAACAATAGAATGGTAATTATTAAAAACAAGCGACATAATCAACTCAAGTGTCTGCACTTTATAATAATTCTGTAGGCAGCCGAGTCGCATAACTGCAACATACCAACTAAATGGAATAAAATTATTAAGAAACAAGAAAATTGCTTAAAATGTCATGTTATTAATTAACACTAGATCATTTCAATAATTTAAACACTAACCAAATAATTAAAGTGTTGTTTTTTATTATCATATCAGCCATTAAATGTCCACTGTTAAACATAGGCTTTTCCCATAAGAGGACATTTGGCAATAGCTCGCCAAGCGGATTAACAACCGCAGTTAAGCATCAGTGACGTTTTAAGAGTGACGCTGCTGCCCGTCCCTCTCTTAGTAGCTTCATAAGACACCCACGAGAATGGAAGTGGTAGCCTATTCTATGTCGAGACCATACCACGGTGTCCAAAGTATTAAGTGTGTTATGTATATTATATATGTATTGTACAGTACTTATTATTTTTAATGATATTTCAAATACTGAATTTTATTGAAAATAGTTATATTAAAATACTTACAAAAAACATCATAAGAAATGTGTAATATGTACCCAATATATATATATATATATATATATATATATATATATATATATATATATATATATATATATATATATATATATATATATATATATAGTGTATTCGTAATGACACGAACCATATATCTCTGTGTATTTTACTTTAATTTTATTTACACCATTTCCACAAAGAGGATAGTTTCTGTCTGAGTTAGCGTTTAGCGTTTCTGCCTACCCCAATAGGAGACATAACATAACAGACATAACAGAAATGTATGTATGTATAAGTGCGGTAATATTTTTATAATATTCTTGATGTAAAGATCACATACGTATTTTTTTAACATAACAAATATCTTCTCTATATAAGTAAAACATATTATCCGAGAATTCATTTCCTAAAATAAATTTAATAAACGACATCAAAGAAAGATCTCAATTCGTCTGTATTTCTTTTTATAGAAGCTAACATAATATCCCGGTATATTAGCGCCCCAATTTTAAAAAGTCGATTTACATTAAAAATGTACAACTTCATTTATTTTAATATTCTTTTATTGAATTGTTTTTTTCGAAAGTATATTTCATTGGTTCTTATAGATAAATTTGATTACATATAGATCAATATGATTTTGTTTAATTCTTTTATTAATAGATTGATGATTGATGTCTATAACCATTAACTCAAGAGAATTAAAGTTTAGTGTTGAGTCACTGTTTTTAACCGATATCAAAAAGAAGAAGGTTCTTAATTCGATTGTAATTTTTTATGTTTGTTACATCATAACAGTTATAAATAGCTCATAGTAGTTATAAATAAAATCGGCAATTTTGTTTATTAGAAACGTAAAAAAAAAAAAGATTTTTTCAAAATCTGTTCAGTAGTTTAAATTTTAAATCAAAGCAATTAGTTTTGCAACAACTGATGCCGGTTTATTTATAAAATACAATCTTAAATTATCGTTGATAATGTTAAGATTCTGAATATTTCTTTTTTTCTTTTTTTACATTCTTATGCAACCAAACTTAATCAATTTTGATTTTAAATATATTGAACAATTTAAGAAAACGCGATGAGTGTTGTGGTATTTAAAAATGGTAATAAAATTCAGTCAATCCAAAGCATCTGAAATTATAAGTATGATGAAATTATACTAATTATATATTTAACATATTGACAATATGAGCATCACAGAATAAGTTTGCGAAGTCTCTAGTATTATTCAAGTCCTTACACACACACAACAGTCTACTTTTCATCAGGTCAGCACACACACACACACATTCACACACACACACACACACACACACACACACACACACACACACACACACACACACACACACACACACACACACACACACACACACACACACACACACACACACACACACACACACACACACACACACACACACACACACACACACACACACACACACACACACACACACACACACACACACACACACACACACACACACACACACACACACACACACACACACACACACACACACACACACACACACACACACACACACACACACACACACACACACACACACACACACACACACACACACACACACACACACACACACACACACACACACACACACACACACACACACACACACACACACACACACACACACACACACACACACACACACACACACACACACACACACACACACACACACACACACACACACACACACACACACACACACACACACACACACACACACACACACACACACACACACACACACACACACACACACACACACACACACACACACACACACACACACACACACACACACACACACACACACACACACACACACACACACACACACACACACACACACACACACACACACACACACACACACACACACACACACACACACACACACACACACACACACACACACACACACACACACACACACACACACACACACACACACACACACACACACACACACACACACACACACACACACACACACACACACACACACACACACACACACACACACACACACACACACACACACACACACACACACACACACACACACACACACACACACACACACACACACACACACACACACACACACACACACACACACACACACACACACACACACACACACACACACACACACACACACACACACACACACACACACACACACACACACACACACACACACACACACACACACACACACACACACACACACACACACACACACACACACACACACACACACACACACACACACACACACACACACACACACACACACACACACACACACACACACACACACACACACACACACACACACACACACACACACACACACACACACACATCACTAAAGCATCTAAGATAGTGATTCGCTTCATTTGGTTTTAAATCATATTTAATAACTTACATAATTGCATAAGATCCAATAAATATGAACATTGGCACTAAACCCAGTATCAGGTTATCTGGCCGCCTTCTTGGGACAAGCACTAGGTCTAGTATAACAAAGATTAGAGAGGCCGTGTGCATACAATGCTGTGCCCATAATGGTACTAGTGTATCGACAAATGCCGGTACAACCAATTCCCGATTTTTGTTCCAGAGACGCCAGAATAGTATATCTGAAAACTGTAACAAAGAATAAATCAAATAATGTTTACTATCTATCAATGATGACAGAAAAATAATATTAATATAATCTGTTACAGACTTTATTATTTTAACCCTAGGACGATTTTATCTAATAAGTGAAAATGGAATGGTGGGGTCACCCCGCCTGCGCTATCGGTGTACACTGATGGGGTACCAGTGAGCTACGCTGACATCATGTTGTGAGCGTAACTCTACTAACTAAAAAAAACTCAACTTATTTACAGCAATCCTGTCTATGTAACAGCCCGCATGCATACTGCTGATAATATGTGTATACAAAATTTCATAGTGACTAGTAAAGCCGTTATAGTGCTAAGAGGTAACAAACAAAGCCGCTATCACATTTATCATATTAGTAAGGAACATACACCAGTACAAAAGAAGGAAAACTGGAAATAAAACTCTATGCTCGTAGGTAACACGCTGCTTGAAAAGTATACGGATAATAGTAATTATATATATAATATAATAGTAATATGTAGTAATAGTATACAAGTAGTAGCCTAATATCCGCCCCCAATGGGACCCTTGTGCCAAGTAATGGGAAGTTATTGAATGGTTATAGTAATGGCATAAGAATGTTATAGTATGAGTGGTTTATTTTTAGATTGCATTAGATTTATTTCATTTAATTCCATTATTTTATTAATTATAGTTCGACTGATAGTAAAAGTAGCGATTTTGTGTTATACGTTTCCCACTAGAATCACAAATATTAAGTAACACTGTAATTCAAACTCGGCCTCTCTTCTCATGTCGTATTGTTGCATACGGCCTGTAAGTTATATTTGGCAAACAGTACGTTTGATAATTTAAACACACAGTAAAATAAAAGGTTGATAGAATGGTTACTAAATAATGTGTCGTTAGAAATGTGTCGTTCTTAAAAAATTCTATCTGATAAATATGTGTAGTTATTTTCACCCCTCTAATATTTTCACTTTTCCAGGGAATTAGGTATTCTCTTATACACTTATTATTTTTAAGTTAAGAAAATTCATCTGAAACACTTTGTGAAATATAATATAATTGAAATATATGTAAATTTATTTCAATATGTTTAAATTCTGACAGATTTTTTTATTGTGATATTCGCGTTGCTAGTCTTGGTTCTAAATCCTTTTAAGGAAAACACGCAACTATTATCATGGATAGGTAATGTACATGAACAAATAATAAAATACTGTACGTGTTGTAAACAAAAGAATGGTTATTTTAATAATAATAAACACATTGAATTATTATTGTATAGAATTTTATGGCAATATAATTAAGTAATTTATAGTGGCTTCAATTTGTTTTTAGATAGATATGATAGATAGATAGATTCTTTATTACACACTAATAACAATAATTACAGGTAAAATTAAACAACAATAAAAAGAGAAAAAAAAATTAATTCATTTTGCTGGTAATAGGAGCCACCTCAGCTATTGCTATATATGCACACTTCCAGCGAGATGTACTTATAGAGCGATTTTCTGGTGACCCCTTTATTCAGTTAACTTTAGCGCGGATCGCCAATACTCATTTTTCAAATGGGAGACTGATCAAAAAGTAAATAATTAAAAAAAACTATAACAAAAATTTAAAAATAGAACAAACTCTGAATATAAAAATTATCAAAATCGACAGTGACAGTATTATTATACATTATAAAAACTTAAAAAAAAAAGTAAAGCGCTAGTCATTTGTTTAGAATTTCTTTCTCCAAAAAGACTCGTTTTTTTAGTTTACTTTTGAAAATATTTTTTTATTACCTAATTATTATTTATTATTGCTATTAAGGTATTAAGCTATATAATGCCTGCATTTTCTCTTGGTATTTGTTTACACTCAAACTAATTGCATATTCCTGGAAAAATATAACTTCAGTTATGTTTTTCTCTTTAAGTCGACAGTAAATAGTTAACGCAGTTCATCGGGGGAAAAAGGATTGATAAAGACAAGATCAGGACGACATTCTCGCGGCGGAAAAATATTATGATTTATTCTTAACTAGCTATTACTCGCGACTTCGTCTGCCTGACCGGGATAAGTTTATTGAATGGGATAAAGTAATTTTCTAATTCATATAGTACGTGTATCCAAATTTTGTAGTGTTTAAATAAGTCGATAAACGTTGTTAGGGTAACAAACAAACAAACTCACATTCACACATACATTATAATATTAGTAAGAATCAATTTGTCACGATTGATTAATTGATCGGCTTTCATCCTTGTCATCATTGCCCTTACCTCGCCAACCTACACTGATAGCGCAAATCAGGTGGCCATTTCATTATCATTTATTTAAAAAATATGTGGTTAATCTTGATAAATCAGGTGGTGTAAGATCAAACTTAAACAAATCGCATATTGAAAAATATATAAATAATATGTACTAATATATATGCTAATACTAGATAAACACATCACTGATAATTTAAACATAGGAAAAATATAGTAGCTAACAAAAATACCACAAAACAATATTTAGAAAAAAAGAAATAATGGTGATACCTTCTGAAATTAAAATGGATTGAAATAGAAGAACTTTTTCATATTTACTAAAAATTTTTATGTCTCTACTTATAACTTCGTCAAATGTATGTTTCCTTATAACAATTTTGATTCCTAATTTGTCCAACTAAAGTGAGACTTTGTACAATAGTCCACTTGGGTGGCTCTGTCCATTCGTGTTTCTGCCATAACTGCACATCAGCTATGCTTGCATGAATGTGTTTCGGTTAAAGGCAGAAATATGGCGAAGAAATTACAGAGTACAGAAACAAAACATCATAATCTTCAGAAATGATAACGTATAATTTTTGTGATGGTACAAAGCGAATGTGATAATTATGCTTTTAAATGTGTTGATGGCAACAATTATGTTTTTGTCATCGTCACATTTAATAACATAATAACCCCCCGAAAGGGAGTTTTATGTTCAACCGTGGACAATTAACGGCTGATGTGATATGACGATACGATTCAGTAACATAATAATCCCGTTTTTATTAAATATGAACAGCAGACTGATTTTTAACGCTATCGATTTGGGATCGAACGGAAATCATATTAGGGTGAAATGAAGCAAGAAATGTATATAAGGATAGAAGCCTATGTCACACCGTTGTCTCAGTAAACGTTATGAGATAAGCTTACAGACAGACAGTTAAATGTATACATTACACAATGCGAAATATTTTCTTTTTTTTTATTATGTTTTTTCCACTGAGGTGGCAAACAAGCATACAGCTCACCTGATGACAAGCGATTACCGTAGCCTATGAACACCTGCAATACTAGGGCTATTATGTTGCTGACCCTGAAGCAACCTCTTTACCCCCCCCCCCCCCCCATGGAGAGCCGAATGCTGTAATTACTAGGGAAAACCTGCTTGTTCGTGGGAGAAATCATTTCTGAAACCGCGTTGTACGTGACCACTAAAGCTGTAGGATATAAAGGTGAACTCCCTGTCGATAGCGAGCGGTACTATGGTAGAAAGTGGCCGTGGGCATCATATTGAACTATTCCTCTGAGCACAATCCATTATACAAGCAGTATAACACGCAGAGTGAGGCAAAATCTCTCCTAAGACTTAAGGGTTCGATACCGCTTGTAAGCCTGGAATTGTCGACAATTCTTATAGCTCGTTGTTACACTTTTATATATTATATGTTATAGTTATAGGAGTTTATGACTAGAATATTATAAAAAAAAAACTATTAATTAAAGAAGCCTTATAGCCTTAAGGCACCCTTAAAATACCATCGCATAATTGGTGCTATAGTGCTATATGCATTAGAGTACTCTATAAAATATATGCCAACAGAATAATAAATAAAATTACAGATCGGTAATTTATTTGATATTGATACAAATGACAGTTTTTATTATAATATATAAATAGTGTTAATGATCGAATAATTCAAACTCTATTTTACGTCTTCATATACTTTTTTATACAGATTTAGTTTGGAATTGCTTAATATATATTTTTGATTTGTATTTTTTAATTTGTCTTTTTGCTTGGTTACTATATTTTTTTGTATTGCTGCTAAAGTCCATGTCTTCGTTATTTATCATCTCATCACATTCCATCGGTCCGTAATAAATGAATCATGGAATTTCTTAATCATTCTCATAAGAATAAGGATTACATCACAAAATATACAGGATGGACTCGAAATCATTAGCATAATTTTAAGAAAGAGTTCCGCGTATGAGAGTGAACTTTTTCACCATAAACATTGAGCCTCCTATATTAATACAGTACAAATATTCAGATAATATCACTATAAGAAAAAATATTAAATATAAACTTACGGCAGTCGTAGGAAGAATCATGCTGGTGAAACAAATAAATCGAACTTGATTGAGAACTTTGACATGACGCTGGTCAGTTTTGCCATTCAATTCTCGCCAGTCACAATAAATAGATATCGGCAAATAGCCTAAAATTAAAATCTGTAACAGATTTAGATATCAATTTATATTATAATAGATTCGCCATTAATTCTTCCCCATCTTAAATAATAAAACGACTATTAAAGCTTTTAGCAAGTGTGACTAATCAACACTCGTGATATTGGCTATATTTAAAATAGTAAATAATATAAAAATAAAAAATTGTCATTTACCCAACTAATAATGAAGTTTAAAAATTCAATAAATTATAAAATTTATCTAATAATATCTCTAACATTCTTTAATTTTTATTGTAATATAATAATTAATTAATGAAATAATAGTGCATACTATTATCGTATCGTGCACAAGTAAAAATATATAATTTTCTTACAATTAAATATATAATATTTTGTTAAAATATATAATATTTTACGTCACCTTGGTTCACTATTATGGTAAATTATTTAAAATATAAATATTTTACAATTAGCATTGATTCTGCTAAATGCTTTTTATATTTTATAGGTACCCATCTTGAGATACGAAGTATTATATATCTTGTAATTTAGTTCATTGACGAATTTATGTAATTACCTTAAATAAAAATAGATGTAAAATGAATAAAAACAAACACATTCCTTTACTTACATTGAACCAGGCTGTGATGAATTTCCATTTATATTGTTGGTATGGCCACAGTTTAGGATCATCTGCGTCTCTAAAATTTATACTTAATAACTTGATTGCCATAACAAGTTGATGAATTAAAGCAAAACCATTCAACCACAATCTAAATTTGAGTAGTTTATTATTTTTCGTATAAACAATATTCGGTAATGCACTAAGATTTAACAATGTCATAGTGTAAGATAACCGCATTGATTGTAAGGTACACGGATAATGATCTTAACACTTGCTTGATGCTGTGTATGTTATTATTAAACAAATTAAACTCGCCGACCGTAAATGACGTAACACAAAGTTGACAATATTCACTGGCGTAAACACTAACCAAACTTATTAAGGGAGAGAGTAAGACATAAAATGATTGCTTCTTCTGTTCTGACAGAAGGATAGGAGAATGAAAAAGGTATGTCTCCATACTCCTACTAGTAGAAAAAATACTATGTTTTTATGCTCTTACTAGTAGAAAAAACAAGAATACTCACTTTCCCTATAAACTTAATCTTGCTGGTTACTCTGTTTAAATCATAAATTGTTATTTGCTCTTCTATTACAGTTGTTTCATAATATATTAGTAATATTTCATGTATTTATATATATATATATATATATATATATATATGTATGTATATATTATACTGGTATATATGTATTGTAATGTATTGTATTGTTGCATTGTAAACACTAAACACAGTTTGATATAAATAAAACTTGCTGTGACAAGGAATGGACATGAAATGTATTTCATTATTGGACTTACATATCAAGATGTTCAGCATTCTTCTATCCCACTTGTTAGGTATGGGTAATATCGGGACCACACCAATATTTATATTTAGGTTCCTCTGGACATTGACGTGAGAAAAAAAACGTCATCATCCATTTCGATATCTCCCATACCGCTCGAATATATAATATATTCATTTCAAGCGAATGCTTCATTTCGATATTATACTCGTATATTGGAAATTTGATATATAATATATTATTTATTAGGCCAATAAATAATTATTACAATTTAATGATATTGCAGTAGCAGTAAAATTACAGGCGTTGAACTTATTTTCAGAAATGTGTCACAGTATATTCTGTGTCGTTCATAAGCCTGCTCATGTCTATAGATGACGATTACCAGCCCATCAGGTACACCGTGAGGTTGTTTACCACTTAAAGTTACTTAAAAAAGGAAAGGACCTATAAATGAATTACCATTTAATTTATCAATTATTATTTGATTAAATAAATTTATATATAATTTCCGGCATAGAATGAGCCACCGTTTACTTTCCCGTGAGTGTAAGTGTATCGTAAGAGGATTCTAAGGAAACGTAATGGTGGGGGAATGGGTAACAACGTCCTTCTGTAAACATCACCAGAGCCTAACTGCGGTTGCCAACCTGCCTGCCAATTACTAGCAAAAAACGTCTTTTAGGGGAGGTCTATGTTCAACAGTGGATAGTTAACAGCTGATATGACGATGATGATATGTATTTCATGTGAGCATTGAATTTCATTAAATACATGAAGAAATATTATATTGATGTTGAAATTGAAATTGAAAAATTGAAATTTTATTGTATAGTAACTCTTGCGTTAGTACTTCTTCTTTATATAATTTAGGTAGGCAACTTTAGTACGCGACTTCGTGTGTGTGGATTTTGGAGTAGGTTAGTGTAATTTTTTTCTTTTGACATATAAATTATACCAAGATTTTCATTTTCAACTATAATATTTAGGTATATATATATATATTTTTTTTATACAACCTAGAATAGCAAACAAGCTGACGGTCCACCTGATGGAAAGTGATAACAGTCGCCTATAGACATGAGCAGTACCATGGACATAACAGAGTATATTGTTTCGCCCAAGCATGCGGGGGATATGCGTTGCCATTCCTAAGGACTCAGGTGTTATTCCTCTGTACCCAGTAAATTCACGCTATATCCCACCCTTCAAACCGAAACACAACCATGCAAATACAACTGCTTCACGGTTGAAACACGAATGGGACAGAGGTACCCAAGCAATCGACTTTTGTACAAAGTCTCCCTCTGGTAAATTACATATTTATAAGTATATTCACTGATTAAAATACAAAGTCTACACCGAGGACATTGGAAGGAGGGTAGAGAGGGTGATTTCCTTTAATAACAAGTACTGCGTGAATATTTCACAAATGATTGCTAATTGTCACAAAAAAATTATATTACGTTCTTCTTAATATTCTTAGTAATTTTGGTTTTAAAAAATGAAAATAAAAATCTGTATTAGTATTGATGTGTTGGTTTGTTTGTAGCTATGTCTGTTTGTACCAAAAAAACTACTGCACTAAATTGGATGCGGTTTTCAGTGTTGTATATAGTATAATAATTTCCGCTAAAAACATTTTCTTGTTTCATACTTTTTAAGCGGTGATTTTTCAATAGTCAGGTTTTAATTTTTGAACTTATTTTTTATTCTTTAATTCTTTAATGTCTTCCATATACAGATATCGTCTTGTTAATATTTTATTATATTAGTAGGGAAAAATAATAAACAGACCACTTCCAGATAGTGCAAGATAATAACATAGACAGGTTTTTAAATTGAAAATCACATGCAGTTTAGTGTAGTAGTTTTTACGTGATGTCAGAACAAGCATATAGAAAAACAGAAAAAAAATATTAAACATTATTAGTGCACTATTATGTTTGTTTTTACATTTCAATAACCTTTTGTGTACAATAAAGAATAAAGAAAGAAAGAAAGAACATTTTTGTTTGGGTTTCTACTGTTATTATTAGGATCTTAAATATCTTCTATATACAGCAATCCTCTAGTTATATTTTTTTTATATTAGTAAAATAAAATATACACAGCAATGCAACGGAAATATGAATGCTAAATATTGAGTCAGTACACATAAGAAAAGCTTTGTATACTAACTACTGCAGTCAAGGTAATCTGTTATCCTCATATACATATACATGTATACTTCTTGGTAGAGTAAATATTAAAAAATTATAAATTAAATACATATAAAGAATAAATAAATGTATTTATTACATGTCTTTGCTCGCGTAAATATTATAAAGTCCCCTGTCACGTCTGTTTGATTGTCTCAACGCAACTTAAAAAAAACACCGTACAAATTTTCATAAGATTTTTACAAATATCCCCAATTAATTCATGAAAAAGATTATGAGGTACGTTGATAAAAGTAGATAAATACTGTGTACAAATATGTGGAATGCGAAGGTGTTGCTTTTCCAATAGATATTATAATATAGGTATATCCCCAGCGTAAATGGAAAACTAAATACTGGATCTAGCCCGTCGTTACATTCTCATTTTAGCAGCAAAATATGTGAGAATACGCCGAAATTAGAGGCACATACTACACATATTAAATAGGTATTCAATATATTAAATACTTCAGTGGTTATTTGATTTGAATTATTTTGTTTAATTCCGCTACCATTAGTATATATGTGACTGCCAACACTCGATGATTAACTACCACTATTACTACCAGAAGTTCTACAACCTTTCATATTAGGCATCAATCTCCAACTGCTATTTTGTACACGCGCCATTTGCGACATGTGTTTCGCCCCTACACGAGGCATCATCAGGCAAATTATCGGATTTCTGTTCAGAGCCTAGTGTTACCTGTTTCGCACCCAAAATAGGCAGTTTGGGTACCGAACCATGGCAGTTGGAAATTAATGACTAATACGAAAGGTTGCCGTATGGTCCCGACATAGAATGGGCCACCCCTTCCTTTCCATATATGTCGTAAGAGGCAACTAAGCGAGTTTGATGATCGAGAAATGGGTAACAGCGTCCACTTCACTTTAAAATCCCTTTACCTTTAACATCACTAAAACCTAGTTGCGGTTGCCAATCCGCATGTCAAGCGCGGCAACTACTAGTAAAAACACCCAATAAAGAGCGGCCTATCTATAGCAGTGGACATTTTATGGCTGATATGATGATGATGAACGTTTATGGAACTTCTACTAGTCACATAGTAATGATAACGGTATTAAACAAAATACTTTTAATCAAATAACCAGTGATATGGACTTCCACGAGATAATATTTATTTCATTAAATATAATAGTAAATAATTAATTGATACATTAAATAATTACTGCAGAACTTTTTTTTTAATAAATTAAGCGTATGTATTTTACTCACTGATAATGTAGATTTCTGCAGGTAAATTTTTTTAGAATAGGTTAAGATTTTTTTTTATTTATCCATTATACACAAAATAACAAATCTTGCCTCGTTTTTCTGTGTATTTACGTACATACGTATCGTAAAAAAACACAAGTATTTGTGTTTTAATTCTTTTTTTCTGCATAGTCAAATTGCAAACTTCTTTTTGTTGTCGCTTTAAAAAGCACGATATAACCAAAGGTTTCTTTGTTTAAGCACGGACTGTGCAGAAAAGAAAGTTGGAAAGCTGTGTACTATTCCAGGCACCTAGCGACGTTTTTACTTTATTTTTAAGCCCCAGGCACTATTTTAGTCTACAGTCTCTCCAAAGAGACAAAAAAGTAATATTAGAAACACTATATCTCTTCGTTTGTATAAAAGATAGCTAACTAAAGCAATGCATAATATATATTATTATTGCATTTATATTTGCATTATTGCATACCGTTAAGTATTTATATGTTTTAATATACAAATTGTCATAAAAACTGATATAGCGAAAATACACTATAAACCGACTACTTAGTCGAGAACTTTCGGCTTTTTGTTTTTTTTTTTTTCAATATTATTATCTTTTTTATTATTATTTTGATAGTCGTTGTATATGTTACGCGGTATCTTCGCCAATAGCCAACCAATTTTGATCGTTGTTTTCACAACCAAAAATTTCCATACTAACGAATTTTATTATAATTGAAAGCGATTTTTTTAAACTCATACCTTTATGTACCTCGGAAAATGTAAATAAGAAGTTCGCCTTTACTAACATTGATATTAACTTATTGTTGTTACTGTATGTTTCAGTGCAATAAAGAATAAAAAAGAATATATATATATATATATAATGCCTACTTAACACAACACACAACAATCCGATGGGGGAAGGAGGGAATTAGTAATGCAGAATTGCTATTGTAATCGTATTGTTAGCAATATACCCAGGCAGGGCGCTGACCGCAACGACTAATTTGTACTTTGTCTACCTCTATACTCCTCGGTCTAGGTGGGGACAAATACCCACTAGAGAGGGG